ACTGTCCTCTCTCTCTCTCTGGTTTCAGACTCTATCCACTGTCCTCTCTCTCTCTGGTTTCAGACTCTATCCACTGTCCTCTCTCTCTCTCTGGTTTCAGACTCTATCCACTGTCTCTCTCTCTCTCTGGTTTCTGACTCTATCCACTGTCCTCTCTCTCTCTCTGGTTTCAGACTCTATCCACTGTCCTCTCTCTCTCTGGTTTCAGACTCTATCCACTGTCCTCTCTCTCTCTCTGGTTTCAGACTCTATCCACTGTCCTCTCTCTCTCTGGTTTCAGACTCTATCCACTGTCCTCTCTCTCTCTCTGGTTTCTGACACTATCCACTGTCCTCTCTCTCTGGTTTCTGACTCTATCCACTGTCCTCTCTCTCTCTCTCTCTGGTTTCTGACTCTATCCACTGTCTCTCTCTCTCTCTGGTTTCAGACTCTATCCACTGTCCTCTCTCTCTCTCTGGTTTCTGACTCTATCCACTGTCCTCTCTCTCTCTCTGGTTTCTGACTCTATCCACTGTCCTCTCTCTCTCTCTGGTTTCAGACTCTATCCACTGTCCTCTCTCTCTGGTTTCAGACTCTATCCACTGTCCTCTCTCTCTCTGGTTTCTGACTCTATCCACTGTCCTCTCTCCCTGGTTTCTGACTCTATCCACTGTCCTCTCTCTCTGGTTTCTGACTCTATCCACTGTCTTTCCTCTGCATTAAAGGCACAAAAAAGTAGTAAAAATAATAATCACAAAGAAGTTGGAAGACCACGATACTTATAGTGAATTTGTACGGCTGATTATACTCCTATCTCTTTGTTGTTGTTTACCTCAGGTGTTTCAAGGTTGTGGAAACCCAAGGCCAGCTCCGGGACGGTCCAAACGCTCCCCCAAAGAGTCCGGGGGCAACAGGAGGCCCTTCCGCACCTACACCCCGGAGGAGAAACCTACGACGGCTGCAGGCACTAACCTGGACCGGCTGGTGAGCAAGACACAAACATGCTTTAATCATTTTACAGCTGCAATAGTGGTTAGACTCCAAACGGACATTTTCCTCTTATAAACGTATTCTTGCTGTTGGCAATCTTGGAACCGCTCGGCCAATGAAAGGCATCTGATCCAACCTTCACAACAGGGTCCTAAGTCTCTAACTAGACTCTCTGTCGCCCCCCGGTGGTGGAACAAATGTCCAAACTCCATTGGATCTGCAGAGTCCCTCTGCATCTTTAAGAAAAAGCTAAAGACCCAGCTCTTTATGAATACCTACTAACTTAATGATGGTGATGATGATGATGATGATATTTAGGATGGTTTGGATGCTGATTAGAACTCTCTAGAACAGCTGTTGATGTTGTGCTCTTCCTCTGGTCACTTCCTGTCAGCACCTCTGTGTCCGATCAGACTTAAAGCTGTTTGTTTACATTTCCTGTCGTTGTCTCCTCCTCTCTCTCTCTCTCTCTCTCTCTCTCTCCCTCCTCGCTTGTGTTGTTCTTACTCTCTGATGTTTGTCTCTTTGGATAAAAGCATCTGCTTCGTGAATTGTACGATTATAATAAGCAAAAAAATAGAAGCTTTAAAAGTCAGTTTGATGTAGTTTCAGTTGCTTAAAAACATGTTGAGACTGTAATGTCCCAAACATGTAGTTTCCACATGAATCAGGAGGCACACAGAGAGACTGAGCAGAGGGCAAACAGCGGATGAAGAACGGTGAAATCGGTCTATGCGTGGTGAAAGAAAGTAATAATAAAGAGAGCAGCAGTCAGAGCCCAGACGTTCTCCTGTGACTGCAGAGCGATAAAAGGAAAATAGATGAGAACCCCGAGCAGAGGAGGTATATCTATTTATAAAACAGAAAAGACATGTGGTTGAAGGACTGACCCTGAAACCAGAGTCGTGTCAGTTCTTTGCTTTGACCAACGTCAATATGCTTCCTCCAGCCAGCCATACCAAACAAGGATATTTTAATACCAGCTCTGAGTCATAACCAATTTCTTTCCGCCTCCCTGCCCGCAGGTTACAGAGCTGAAGGAGCGACTGCGGCCCATGCGTGGCTTCTGGGTGTCCCTCCCACACACCATCTGCAACGATGAAAAGATGGCTACCGACGTCACTAATGAGGACCGCTGCTGGAACGGGCAGACCCGAGGGAGGTGAGCAAGATCAGAGAGGAGATTGGAGGGAGGGGTGAGAGAGAGTAGTGGGAAGGCAGCGGTGGAAAGATGCAACAGATGGAACCGCTTTTGTTTAATTTAGCCACCACCAGTAACCCACAGGCTCATCATGTGGGTCTGCTTTCTGCTTTTATGCAAACAGAAACAGCCTATGACCATGTATCTGGGCACTGTGTAGTCAAGTGTGTGTTAAGCAAGGAGCGAGAGAGAGAGAGAAAGTCTGCATAATGGATGATTTAGTGTCTCTGATGTTGTAGCTGCATTAAAGTAAACCGATCATCGCCGCTTTAGTCACATCGTGGGGCTATATAAATAAAGTTTGATGATTGATTATCATGCAAGCCAGTAAGGTATTTGAGACGCAGTCTGACTCTCAGAGAACTTGCTGTGGGATCCTGTGCACCTTCGACCCTCATCCAAGCTCGACCCCAAACCCTCATGAGTCCTAGATGGAGGTAGTGGTCAGGTGAGGATGATGTGACCTGCTCTGGTTCTGTCCCCCAACACCACTGCTACTCCTCCATAGCTCCACTGTGTCAAGGCGTCCCCCCGGGTTCGATGCTTGGTCCTCTCCTGTTCATCATAAAGTCGATGATGCTTTGAGAGAATCTGTGCGTGCCTTTGCTTTTGTTCATGAATGCCTCTGTGTGTGTCCACAGGTATCTCCCGGATGTGACAGGTGACGGGCTGGTGAGTCAGATCAACAACCCTGAGGTGGAGGTGGACATCGCCCGGCCAGACGTGAGGACCAGACAGCTGATCATGGAGCTGAGGGTGGCTACCAATAAACTGAGACACGCTCAAAGCGGACAGGACATGGACTTCATGGATAGTGAGTGTGCTGTCAGAGAATTTATATTAATCAAAAGGTATCTGGATAAGAATGATTCTTATTTCAGGAATGTAACTTTTTTTTATCTAGAGTTAGCTAATCAGGTTCACTTTTGTTCCAGTTAGGCTCAACCTTATTCAGATAGACTTCACACCTGCACAAAACGTCCTGAAGTGTTCGTGCTGAGCGTCATGTGTGAACACAAACAGCTGAATGTTTCTGATGAATGAGCCAGTGGGAGGGGCCAGTGGGAGGGGGTGGTGACCTTTATTCCCTGTGATCGCTGCACGACCATAGACTGTCTGCACGCCACCTCTACCATCTCTGTGCTCTAATCAACCTGCTGCTGCATGTTTCCTGTTCTCCAGGATGTTCTTCTCCTCTCTTTAGTTCACATTGAGATTCACATTGAATATTCTCATTATAGAGTCGTATAGAGGAGGCTGTGTCGCTCTTTCTACGTCACCTCTTACCTCAGGAGACCCCCCCTCCCGTCTGACAGGGATAGTCTCCTGCTGTGAGATGCACGTGTGAAAACATGTTTTAAATTTTATCCACATCAGGATAACCAGTGCTCTAAAGACTTCAAAACTACACCGTTTGTCCACAAGGGGGCTCCAAAATCCTGATACTTGCTTTTAACTTAATAATTTATGTTTGATATTAAAAGCTCTGTTGAAAAATATTTAATTGGTAATTTAATTTTACACAACTTTAATGTCTATGAGGAATTTAGCAATCATCAGAAAACCTTTAAACAGCCGGCTCTGGATGTAGAGTTCACCGATGCAGAGACACGATCGCTGATTTGTTGACCATTCTTAGAAATACCCCGTTAACTTGATCAGAACTTTGAATTCTATTAATCTGCATCTTGTCCTTGTTCCAGGTGAGGAGGGCAGCGGCTCAGGAGGTGGCGATCACGGAGATAGGTACAACGATGATTGGCCAGGTTATGGGCCTAACTCTCCCTCTTACAACAACAAACCCCCCCTTAACCCCGCCTCCAACCCGGCCAAGCCACCTCGGATCAGAGAAAGAAACGGGTCCAAGTGGAAGAAAAACAACGGCCACGGGAGGGTTAGGTCCGCCTCCAGCCGGCTCTCTTTCTCCCTGCTGTCATTGTTGTCTCTGCCTTTCGTGGTCAATGTCGCCCCCATGTGGAGATAGCTGCTTATTGCGATCTGTGAGTCGAGGTGTGTTGTCTTTTGGGGATCTAAAGCACATTAAGAAATGAAGTCATTCCATTTGGGTACACCAGCAAAACAAAGAGACTAAACAGGCTCAATTAGCAATAATCAAAAAAACCTGTTTACAGCACAACGTAAGAGAGTTCAAAGAAATGTTCCAAAACAGACTTCACACGACGTTGATGGATACAAACATGACCTAATAAGTATTTAAACTTTATTTTAGTGCCATTCATAAGAAGTTTGAACTTTTGGAGTCTGAATCCCGAGAGGCGTTCAGTGATGGAGGGTTCATGTTGGCGGTGAAAAGCGGAACAAAAGCACTGAAATGAGCGTGCAGCATGTTTTGGAAGATGGTGCTTACGGGGCAACTTGCAGGTCGAAGCCTCCAGCGAACATAAAGTTCAAGAAAACACATGAATTAGTTCTCCGCAGAGACTTCTGGAATCACTTTTGAATGTTTGCGTTCATCACCTCTCGCTGTGAGGAGCATGTGTGAACAACCAGGTCAGGTCAGTCCTCCTGAAATGTTCTAGATATTTTCAGGGGAGCAAACGTCTAAAGTGTTTGAGATGACATCACGTTAGCAGATGTGTTCTCTTGATGAAAGTGCGACCTTGAAAGTTGGTTTTCGGCAGGAAGCGGCTCCCTCCTCTTTCCAGTCCTGCGTACCGCCACTGAATCTGTAAGAGGTACTCAGGACTGGACCGCCCCGGCCTCATGTCCCCCCTTGGTTTAATAAATACAGTAAATAATCTGACCTGCAGGTTGCCCTTTAAGTTCTCGTGTTCACTTTGTCTTTGAGATCGAGATTTAGTTTCGCTCT